TGTTATGCAACCGATTGGGAACTCGCAGAACTCCTATGCAAAGCCAACTTTAACTAGAATGGGCACATAAATGTCAACACGATAGGTTATAAACCTCAAGTCGTGTGCTAGTGAAGAACAACAGGTTTTATCCTTGATTAGTTCTTGAGACTTTCTAGACCTTTAAGACTCACACTGTCCTCTTGACATATAAGACTCTCTTGTCAAGAACCATTCCTTGACAACCAAATATTCAAGAGATAGTGTGGATTCTTATCAAGACTAACACTTCACACAATTGGCCTAAGTTGGTCTCCGTTTTATCAAAAACATCACAACTTACCAATTTCAAATGTACTAGAGTAGAAAACATTTTACTCTTACATTTGACTAGTGTTAATAAACCTACTTTAAGATATGTCACTCAAGTTACAATCTTGGAGTATGACTCTAAGACTTGTTTTGGAACGAAGTATGACTCATCTTCTTGATTTAACCATTCCAACAATTCACGACTCCTCTTCTTAGCCATAAGAATGTACTAAGATGTCCTTAGAGGATCAATTGTGATATGGTATCTTAATCATTAAGATGATCATACAACATGATACTAAAGTACTCTCCCATCTTTTCAGATTTGAGAATTTTATCTTTCTGTCTAATTTGATTCTTCTCATTCGTTCTGCCACACATTGAAACCTTTCCAATGTTTCAGAATTATACTTAAACTTGTAAGTATAACCATATTTACTAAACTTTAGTAAATCATAACGAATAATCGTATTGAACTTTGTGGTGAACCTGATCAGCGCAGAACCAAGTGTACCCAATCCTTTAGTCCTTCACTCGACTCACACATACATGTGAACAAGGTCTTAGTCTTAATTTCCCAAAGATGAAAATTCTCATTCATCACACAATACAACTTGCATGATTCCAAGTTTCTATCCAACTGAAACTTGGGTGATGAGAATCTTTCCTTATTTGGTAAATTATGACACTACCATAAATGAATGAATCAAATTTTATTTTCCAATATTGCTTTCAATGGAAACATATAAACAACAATTTTTCACAAACTTTTTATTTCAATTAGTCGGTCATCATAAATCGGAAATCGGGAAACAACAGATGGACATGGAGAATGATTATAATCAATGTCTCAGTCCATATGATATCTTGTAGAATGGAGGAATATATTATCCCTTATCTAATGGACGTGTCATCGACTAGGTCAGAGTTCGACAACGACTTTTAAGAGCTACGATTGCTAGTCGGGATTTTGGAGTCGTACTTGCAATAATAGTTATTAGACTTATCCAAGTGGGAGACTGTTGGATTAGGTGGGTAAGCCCATAACTATAATTGATATGTACTTGACCCGAGAGTAGCATGGTCCATTTGGGTTGCCTTCACCAGAGCAATTTGATAGGATGTACTTTTGAGAAGAGGTTATTTGTGATTTATTAATATATTATAAGTTCTAATATATTAATATAAAATCATATTATTTAATTAGTATTGATCAAAAATTAATTTGGAATTAATTTAGTGATCAAAAGAGACTAATTAGATAAATGGGGACTAATTGTGTAAATTAGTTATATATATATATATATATATATATATATATATATATATATATATATATATAGTTTGGGCTTATGATACATGATGGACTAAGTTTATGAAAGAATCCATAAAAAAATAGTCCATATGGATCATGGATCATGGATAATAAGCCCAAGGGTATGGATTAGGGTTTAACCATGACTCTTAGAATCCTACAATATATATATATGTCACCCTATAGCTAAAATCGGTTACTACATATGTTTTAAGAGTTCATTTGAGCCCATTTTTATGCAAGGATATTCTCCCTCAAAAGTCCTATTTTTGTTCATGGTGTTTGTGAACCATTTGAGGCATCACATTTGAGGTGCTAAGTTCTTAAAAGCTAAAACTACAAGCTACAACAAAGAGGTAATTCCATAACTCAATTCTATGTTGTTTTTGTTAATTGTATGCTAGTTGTAGGCTTAATGCTTTGGAAACAATATTGCATGTATAATTAGAGAAAACATAGATACAAAACATTTAGGGTTGATTGTGCGTGAATAAACAAAACACAAAAATAGAAATGTCAAATTACACATAAGCCCCTCCGTTAATTAAAACTTAAATGACGCGTCTCTTTTTCCATTTAACAAATGGATGATCCAAAATTGTTCTCAAATTCATAATTGTTCTTATATATATATATATATATATATATATATATATATATATATATATATATATAGAGAGAGAGAGAGAGAGAGAGAGAGAGAGAGAGAGATAGGTTCAAATGTTTTTAGCAAATATTGTGTGCCTAAATGCACCAATCAGAATTTAGGAAAAAAGAAATCATTAATTAAATAATAAAGGGTAGCTTAGTCATTTTACCTTTATAAACCAAAAATAAATGTTGTATATTTGGAAAATCATTAAATGAATATCACAAATATCCTTTTTAAATCGTTGTTTCATCTCACTAACCCTAATCCCCGCTCTTTTCTTTTTTCGATCGGGAGACACAGGAGCGACCCAATTTCTTCTTCCTCCTTCTCCACCATTGGCGACTTCTGCTTCCTTCATGCCACTGTCAAACGATATTTACTTGTAAGTACAAGGCTTTAATTATCCAAATCAAAAGCTTGATCAAAGTAACAACTCATGTTATGAGCAGAGAGAAAAAATGGTGCTGAAAGTATATGTTAATCGACTTTCCCAGACATCTCGTTCTATTCTCCTATTCTACAGGTAAATTACATTCTTCATTTACATTGGGTGTTTTCTTTTTCTGTTCCAACCTTTAGTTTTTCACATTTGGTAGCTTCTTTGTAGAAATGGCCTGAAAGAAAATTTGATTTCTATGTTGCACGCCAGGTGTTTGTAGAAATGCCTCAAAGAGTATTTGATGTTCAAATTCTTGAAGAACACAAAAATAATTCTAACTTGGTTATTTGTGTTACTTGGTTCTAACATGTGGTATGTTTATTTGTTAATTAACTGAAAGAGTATTTCTTTTATTTTCTTCATTAAACCTTTTGATATGTTTTTTTTTGTTATTAACTCCTTATTTGTTAATTACCTGAGTAGCATCAATCTTTCCTATTGGTATTTGATTTTTTAAATCAATTTAGGGTGAAGATTTGATTAACGGTTTATAAGAGATTTTCACAAATTTGAGATAGTTTAGAACTTAAACGTTGTATGAACGAGAAAACTCTTCTCAAAAGCATTTGTAATCACCTGATTAAATAAGCAATATGTGGAAAATATCAAAATCTAACCGTCTAATATTTGAAAAATATTAAACTTAACATGTTCCACTATTCCAACAATTTTATAATCTTGATTTAGTAGCAAATTTTATGTATTCTGTCAGAATGTATTCTATGTATTCTATCGTATTCCATGTATTCTTCCAGAATATATAAAGTGCTAGGAATTGCAAGTAACATTCTAGTAATTCTGACAGAATGCATTTATACATTCTATGCTTTAGAATGTTTATATATAGAGAATACGATTGCAAATGGCAAATCACATGCTTTTAATTCTTTATAGTGGCATGTAAAGTTATAACTAGCAGATTTTATTCTATGTATTCTGCGAGATTGTATTCTATGTATTATGCAAGATTGTGTTCTGTATATTCTACCGGAATGTATTATATGTATTATGCCAGAATGTATAAATTTAATAGGAATTGCAAGCAACATGTTTTTAATCATTATTAGTTTTTGTTGCATTTGTGATAGAAATGGTCGGAAGAATGGCTTGAAGACCTGATAAGAATGACTTGAAGAATGAGCCAAAAATTTATGACACTCACAGTTTAAGAATGTTTTTATTTTTTAAGAATAACACTTGTATTTTATTCATTAACTGTATATTCAAGAATGCTGATTTTTTATGATATTCTTTTAGAATATGTATAAATATATTAAAATGTATAAGGCTATTAGTATGTAAGAATATGTATGAATTTGTATTTAAGTTCGAATGTATATGAAAATATTAAAATGTTTTTATTCTTCAACTAGGAGTTCAAGAATTCTGTTACTCTTCATTAATATTCTAATAGAATAAAACTCTTAAAGAACATCATTCAAACAAAAACCCATTCTGACGGAATAAAATCGGTTATGTTTACAAATTATGTTTAGAATTAATTTAAAAAATTCAGATTTTTAAAATTAGGAGTGTTAATGATCCCTTAAAATCCAAAAATTTCCTTTTTTAAAATAGGTTAATTGACCAAAATACTATTTTGTTGAAATTTGTGTGATTATATGATACATGCTATCCTATTGTAATATCATAGACCCTCAGATCATGATCATTGATTCTATTCATCCGGTGGTCCAGATCTCAATAGTTAGTAAAAACAAAATAACCTAATATATATATATATATATATATATATATATATATATATATATATATATATATATATATATATATATATATATATATATAATGTTTACTACACATCCTCACTAATATTCACATGGATGTACCTAATATCATCACTTGTATTTCAACATCCAATTTATGGGTGTTACAGTCATATCGAGCGACCCCATTAATTCTTTGTGTATATTTTTGTTTTTCTTTGATTTGTTGCGCAACACTATCATCAGTAAATAAATATAACTATTTGTTGTTATGAGTAAAGAATTATAAATACATCATTATTATATATGTAAAAAACATGTAGGTACATTGTTATAATTAGTTTTATATTGCCATTAATGATTAAGAAAAATATAAGTATATTTTTATTACGAGTAAGAAAATATAACCATATTGCTATTATAGATGGAAATAAATTATATTGTTAATACTTTATACCAATAAAAAAAAGTAAACTATATTGCTATTTTATAAAGTTTGATTGGATAGTTTTTAGTAGCTGTGGAATTTACCCTATTTTTTATTATGATTTCATCGTATCAAACACTCTAATGTCATATGATTAAAATAGCTTTGGGGCAAAAGCAGGGCAAGGTGATATGTAAACCGCCACAAATAAACAAACTTAATACAATTTCAATTTCATAGACACACGGTGAAACAGATCAGCCATGAGTTGGATGATCCCCAAGTCGACCTGTGCTGAATCTTCTCGTCCGATGTCCACCAAAGCATGGCTTTTGCACGGCGTCGCCGTCGCCGCTGCTCTGGTCGGTGCTCACGCTTACTTCTATTACCGCCGATCTGCCACCGTGTTTCGGAGTCGAGTAGTGGGCATAATTCCAGCCCGGTTCGCTTCTTCTCGATTTCAGGGCAAACCCCTCGTTGAGATCCTCGGAAAACCCATGATCCAGGTAGCGTGTTACTCCTCAACTCTTAAAATTCTTCATTCTCTATAAATCTCGAATTAAGATTCTCGCGATCTCTAAACTCTAAGTAATAATTTGTTTTTTTCGAGTGTATATACTTGTATTATTGGTCAGATTACTAGAATTTAGGGCATAATTCTACTATTTAGGTGCTGAATCCAAGTTCATGAGCTTCAATTACAGTAAAATTTCCGAAATATTCATATGATTTCAACAAATCACTATCGTAGTTGATACTAGTTGCATTGATTCAACCAAATGTTTGATCCATTTCCTCACAAATTAGGGTTCGTTTTATTCAATTTTTAACAGAGAACTTGGGAAAGAGCAAAGTTGGCAACGACATTGGATCGCGTTGGTAAGTATTTGAGCTTAATTTGGAATTTACTTCTAGTGTATTCTCGATAATCTCTTCTTCTACATTCTCTCTGAGTTTTACTTTAACTAAATTGGACATCATCCTTGTTGCAGTTGTGGCAACGGATGATGAAAAGATTGCAGAGTGTTGTCGTGGATTTGGCGCCGATGTGATAATGACTGCAGAATCGTGTAGAAATGGTACAAAATCTGTCAATCGAGAGTTCTAATCATCTCAAATATTGATTAAGCTTAACCCATTTTTTTTTTTTTGCATAAATTATAGGCGCAGAGAGGTGTAGTGAAGCACTGCAAAAGCTCGACAAGAAATATGACATTGTTGTCAATATTCAAGGAGATGAACCACTAATTGACCCTGAAATCATCGATGGAATTGTCAAAGCCCTTCAGGTATCATATCATAGAATCACATCACTTGCTTTCGAAATTTCTTCATCTATAATTCATAAAATATATTGAATTTTGTGCTGTTTTTAGACTACCCCTGATGCAGTTTTCAGCACAGCAGTCACATCTTTGAAACCAGAAGATGCTTTTGATCCAAATCGTGTGAAATGTGTAGTTGATAATCGTGGTTATGCAATCTATTTTTCTCGAGGACTCATCCCCTTTAACAAGTTTGTGTTTCTTTGACCTAAATATTTGATCATCTTTGACTTTTCCATGTTTTTTTATTTAATAAATGGTTTTTTTTTTGGTGCAGATCTGGGAAGATAAATACTGAATTCCCTTATAATCTTCATCTTGGCATTCAGGTACTCTTGAAAAAAGAAACAAAAGTTTAATTTTATTTAAATATTTAATCATTACATAATTTTGATTTTTTTAGAGCTATGATTCGGAATTTTTAAAGATTTATCCCAATTTGTCTCCAACTCCATTGCAACTTGAAGAAGATTTGGAACAACTGAAAGTTCTTGAAAATGGGTACAAGATGAAGGTACTTTTTTTTTTCATTTGGGTTTGTGTAATTTCTTGATATAAAGATTTGAAAAATGATGTTTTTTATTGGTTGAAGGTAATAAAAGTGGATCATGATGCTCATGGTGTTGATACTCCAGAAGATGTGGCCAAAATTGAAAAATTTATGCTCGAAAGGAACTTGTCTTAGTGTAATCTTGTGATTTTGTCACCAAAAGCTTGAAGAGTTTTATCAAATTAGTGTTTATTTGTTGTAGAGTTGGAGTTAAAATTTAGACATTATATTTTGTACAAGTTATTAACAAAAACATTTACATGAGTTTGTAAGTTTAGCATGTGATAAAGTGTATCAAATTGTGGGAATACGAAAGTGAAACTTGTAATACTTTTGTTATTTGTATAAACAATATATTTTAACTTTTATTTATCATAGCAATGTATTTATATTTTATATTATAATCATTGTTGCAAAAGCCGCTATACGTTTTCAAATCGGTCTGACTAGCGGGTAACGAATATTCAGTTTAAGCGGGGAATTAGATTTGGTAATTACAAAGAATTTAATTTTGGAAAAATTATATATACATCATACGTTCATTAAAATTCATAACAAAATAGATGAATATAATAACAATTATGGTTTTTTATTTAAAAAAAAGTCAAAATTTCTGAGTATGACAGATTTAACCGAGTTTTTCTGCGTTGGTCGAGTTGACCGAGTTGGACCGATTTTTTTCGAGTTTGACCAATTCCGAATTTATTGTCTGATGTTCAAAAAACAACATCGTCATATATCTGATTCCGAGTATTCGGCCGACTATTTGTTGAGTATATAATACTTTATATATTGTTACTATCAATAAAAAAAATATAATTATATACTTTTAGAAGAATCGGCATGTGGCAAGCACGTGACACCTAATCTGTCCAACAATCACCTGATCTGATCTTTCCAACGACACAAAACCAAACAACCACTAGCCATTCAGACACCTTCACATCACACTTCAATTTCTTACACCTTCCCTTTGATTTGTTGCGAATTAATGGCCGGCGTTCTCGAAACCCTCACCGTTCCTCGTGCCTCCGGATTTCCGGCAGTTTCTCTAACTCCGATCGCCTCTTCTCCGGTCTGTCAACTCTCCCTCCGTCGGAACTTTGTGCCGGAATCACGAGGCTTGAAGTTAAACATCCGTTCCTTCCGCTCTTCTGGATCCCTGAGATTGAGGTCGAAGTCCGGCCGTCGTGGTGGAGGAATCGTCTGTGAAGCTCAGGAAACAGCCGTACAAGGTTAGAATCGTTCATTTGTGTTGTATCTCTCATGGATTGGTGGATTAAATCGCTTGTTTTCTACATTGTACTCTCTGAACCTACTGGAGGTATTCTTATACTCGTAGTCGTTTAACATTCTTCGATTTCTGAAAATAGCTAATTATATATATTTATGTTATGCAAATCCTGCTCTTAGTCTCTCAGTGCTCTAGCATCATTTCCTTGATATTCTCGTGTAGTTGAATGCATCTCACCTTTTGTAGAACACGATTGAATGCAAAAAACATGTTTATCTCGACTCAAAACCACATTTATCTTGTTTTGCTTGTTTTGTTTACTCCGTCCCTTCATAATAAACAACCACACTTCCAATTTTCTTCCAAATATATCATTTTCAAAGCCAAAACCAAAATTGACATTGATTTTGTTTCAAGTGAAATTAAAATTGACATCTGAGTAACAAGTATGAAGTAGATTAATACATTTGTTATGTAAAAAGGAACTACAATTGTTATACGCCTAGTAAATCATAGATCCTCTCCAACATTCAGTTTCATTAGCTGATTATGATTTGTTGAATCTAACATAAGAGAGTAATTCAAGCAAATTATGATGTTGTGTTGACATTGCAATTGCAGTACTCCCTGTGACTGATAACACATGGCAATCACTTGTTCTTGAATCCAAACTTCCTGTACTGGTTGAATTCTGGGCTCCATGGTGTGGCCCTTGTCGAATGATCCACCCTGTAATTGATGAACTTGCAAAAGAATACACAGGAAAACTCAGTTGTTACAAGGTAAACACAGATGAGAGTCCTTCAGTTGCAACCAAATATGGAATAAGAAGCATCCCAACTGTGATGATCTTCAAAGAAGGAGAGAAGAAAGATGCAGTTATCGGTGCAGTTCCAAAAACAACTTTGTCTGCTTGCATTGAGAAGTTCTTGTAGAGGTACTTATGTATATATAATTATTATATTATATATATACTACTAGATTTGAACCAGTTTAGTTCTCTTATTTGTTTCTATCACAACTATGCAAACAGCATAATAAATTTGATATCCAATTGTATGTATAGTTGGATTCAGATTTATTTGCTGATGTGCTTTCCGGAATTAGAATCTCATGTTTTGTGGTATCTTTTTTCTCTAAGGTGAAGATTGGCAAAAGAGAAATTTTGTCATATATAATGCCATGATTGACACAATATCAGCACCAGATAAACCTAAATAAACAAATTCTTCCATATTGAATGTCATAATTTAGTGACATATTGAATGCAATGAAAAGATAAATGACCTAAAGAACAAACTGCTTACTATCGGTTGCCATTTTATGACATTAGCCTTTTTCCATCTCAGTGTGTTGTTGAGGAAGAAGTTGTTTGTATGTTGCAACTATGCACAAAGATGCTTATAGAAAAATATAGTTTCTGATTCACGAAAAAAAAAAAAAAAACATATCTATGGGGCTGTTTCATTTTGACTTAATGGCTATACATGGTTGTTTGTTGTATTCAATAGTTCATTTAATCCGAACAACAATAAATTTATACAAAACTTAATAGACAAAAAAGAACAAACCCAAACACTTCTTTTAATAAAAATCTTGTATGTTGAAAATGTTTTTATACTTCTTGGTTTTTAATCGTCACATTCGTATGAACTCAACATGACCTACATTAAAATGCGCAAAACTAGAAAAACTCGAGATCTGAAATCTTCTATGATGAAATATGTTGATTATCAATATCTTGGGGAAAGAAAAACTTCAACTTTTACAAAAAGAATGTCTAACGTTAAATCACAAAAAATCGAAAAGGTGGGTGGAAATTTCTGGTTATAAAAAGCATAAGGTTGCCCATTTGATAAGGAAAAAACAATCGCAAACCATTCATTGATATTTTACAATATAGTGGCTTAAATGAATTAAATTTTCTCCATTGACCCAACTATAAATATGGTGAAACCACAGGGACTGTTACGCAAAGTTTCAAAAGAATTAAAAATGAAAAAGATATAACAGAAAATTATGGGCATGACAGGAGCCGACATTAACTCCGGCTCAAGCTGGAAAACCATAGCTTATAATAGATCCTGTTTAACAATAATTAATTCTTTGAAATCCTGTTGATATCTTTGTCGTAAATCTAAAAGCTGTTTTCCCTGAATTAACAAAATATAAGCATTTATTATTTTAATACCAAAATCGTCATAACATTAATATCTATCCGTTCTATCAAATCCAGATTTAACAGGAAAGTTGATTATGATTTGATATTTAGTTGATGGCCATAAAAGGCTTATAAAATATTAAACTTTTGAAAAAATATAAAGTGAAAAAGATTTATTTAATTTAGGATAAAACAAAAAAGTAACATGAAAATTATTAAACAAATGATATTCCCATATCTCCATTGCGAACCCCTTCACACACACACACACAGTCCTTTTTCTTCCTTTTTACACTCTTTTCTTTTTCATTCTACTGGTTTCCCTCTTTCCTTCTCTCTCTCTCTCTCTCTCTCTCTCTCTCATCACACAAACCCTCATTCCCTCTCTACAATCCGAAACCAGACATAGAAATGAGAGGACCGGTGATCGGAAAGTACCCATCAAGCGACGGAAATGGTGACGTCGGCGCCGGAAACGGAATCATAAAGCACAATCGGAAATGCAGAGATATTGTGTTTCTTGTTTTCTTCATAGCTTTCTGGATCTCCATGATTGTTAACTCCAGCTTCGGTTTCAACCAAGGAAACCCATTAAGGTAAACCAAAAAAGAAAACTTATAAACTAAAAAAGTTTCAATCTTTTTTTCATTTCTTGAATAAATTATTTGCCTTCAATTTCCCTTTATAAAAAGGAGGGTTTTCAAGATTTCTTGCATTTTTAGTGTCTTTGTTCCTGTTTTTTCTTTATAAAATGGTTTTTTCACACTTAAAATCACCTTTACCTTCTAGCATACGTTCAAGATTTGATTTTTTTTTACTCGTGTCATTGAAAAATTATATAATTTTGATTTGTATTTTTATGCGTTTTGTGGTTAACCAGGCTAAATTTCGGTTTGGATTATAAAGGAAATGTATGTGGAGGAAAACATTCCGATTTTGACCTCCGTGAATTGGAACTCAAATATTGGGTTAACCCTAATCAAGTTTACCAAAGTGGCATGAAGAACAGCGGGGTAAAACTGTCAAATGCTCGAACCATATGCTTATTAGATTGTCCAATACCCTCGGAAGATTCCTTAAATTGGGTTTGTGATTATCCAGAGGGAGATATTCGTCTTTCTTTAGATGATTGGATCGATATGAATTATGATTATTTTGCCGATCTTACCCCTGAACTTAGAAACACTTCTCTTCAACTTCAAGGCCCTTGTTACCCTGTCATTTTTCCAAGCGTAAACGGTATATTTCATAATTTATGTAAATAAAAATGATTTATTTCGTTAATTGTTTAATTAGAAGATGTAAGGGTAATTCGGTAAATGCAGTTTATTGGAGTTGCCAGTTTATTGATCGCCCATCAAATGTTTCTTTGACTAATTGGAAACGAATGAATGGAGTTACAATCAACGATGATATGATCATAGATAAATCTATTCACAACTCCATTAATGCACGATCTTCTGTATTGAAGGTATGTATGGTATATATACCTGATTCACATGTCTTGTGCATTATGTTTTGTTCATAATGCACATGACATCCAGATGCCTGTTGCATTGCAACAGACATCTGACTGCACCAGTCATCGGATATCTTATATCGGATGACTGGTGCATAAAAATGCAGTATTGATTAATAATTGGTGAAAAATTAATTGCAGAGATATGTGGCGGATGTTGGAAAATCATGGCCCGTGTTGATTGTTTGTGGAGGACTTTTGCCTTTATTTTTATCGCTTTTGTGGCTTTTAATGATCCGACATTTTGTGACCGGAATGCCCTGGGTGACCGTTTTTCTCTTTAATGGCCTTATCATATCAGTCACAATGTTCTACTACATGAAAGGTTAGATTACATGGATGTGCATTTTCAAACTTATTACACAACAAGGGTATTTTGGTAATTTCACCGATGATGAATTTCCTTTCCCTATGTTTTGCATTTTTGTTAGCTGGATGGATCGGAAACGATGCTATTTCGCCTATCATCGGCGAACACGATCCATACTATCATGTCACTTCGAGGGTAAAGTTTTTGCATCAACAAGGGTATTTAAGTAATTCCACGTATATAAAATTTCACCATTTTTCATTTTTCTTTTCAGGAGCAACATCATATCCGCGCAGCCGCTTTTCTCATGACATGTGTCATGATCATATCCGTTTTATCATCAGTCGCCATTGTTCGCCGGATTCTCATGGCCACATCAGTACTCAAGGCAAGTAATCATAACATTTAGACTAAATTACATCTTTGGTCCTTGAGTTTGTTCCAAAATTGCAGTTTTCGTCCCGGATAGTTTCCTCTTGCAATTTTGGTGCCTCTACGGACCAAAACTGAAATTCTTGAACAACCTCAAGGACCAAAAATGTAACTTACTCTAATTCTTAAAATAAACTACTTTATCGATAATCCAGGTTGCAGCAAAGGTGATCGGAGAAGTTCACGCGTTGATAATTTTTCCGGTGATCCCGTACCTAATTCTGGCGGTGTTCTACATGATCTGGGTGTCGGCCGCCCTCCACCTTTTCAGCTCCGGCGAGATAGTCCGCAATGATTGCAACACAAATTGTTGTGCATACGATTTGAAAGCCAAAAGGGTGAGTTGCGATGATTGTTGTGGGTATAGCATTCATTACACCAATCATATTGCAGCTTCGATTCTCTTCCACTTGTTTGGATGCTATTGGGCCACTCAATTTCTCATCGCCTCTTCTTCCACTGTCATTGCTGGCTCCGTGGCTTCTTACTATTGGGCTCGTGGAGAATCATCGGTTAGTAAATACAAAATTTAACTCTCAATCCATTCCGTTCTTCCAAACCAACAATGGAATGTAATCATCCATTCCATTCCCTTTTTTCAGACAACGATTCCGTTTCTTCCGGTTTTCTCATCGATGAAGCTACTCACACGATATAGCCTCGGCTCAATAGCAATCGGTTCCTTAATCGTGTCTTTTATCGAGTCGACTCGGTTCATACTCGAAGCCATTCGTAGGAGACTCAAAGTCGCTGACATCATGCCCGAAAATTTCATCAAAAGAATGATGTTCCACACTTCTCGTTTTTGCTTAAAGGGCATTGAATTAACCATAAAATCAGTAAACCGAAACGCATACATTATGGTAAAAAAATTGAAAACTCACTTTTTTTTTTGTGTGTAAAAATTCCCCTTACATTTACCTTATTGTTATAGATTGCAATAACGGGAAAAGGATTCTTCAAAGCTTCAGAAATAGCAACAAATTTGATAATAAGTAACATTTTGCGAATTGGAAGAGTGAATGTGATTGGAGATGTTATTTTATTTCTTGGAAAGCTTTGTGTGAGTCTTGCTAGTGCGCTTTTCGCGTTTCTTATGTTGGACACTCATAAGTACAAATCGTCTCACAACAAGATCACATCCCCGTTGTTTCCTGTAATGGTATGTCATATGTCACATAATTTATTTATTTTTAAATCATATGTAATAATATGATATAATAAAATAAAATTTGATTTGATGGTGTAGGTGTGTTGGGGATTAGGGTATGTGGTGGCGACACTGTTTTTTGGGGTGGTGGAAATGTCGATAGATACGATTATTTTATCGTATTGTCAGGATGCCGAGGAACATCAAGGGACAGCACATTATGCGCCTCCACTTTTGATTGAGACTTTTGAGGAGGATAATGAGGTGCAAAGGATTGGACAATGAGAAATGTAGGCTTGTTTTGTTTTGCCGTTGGTTTTTTTGTTAGGAAGTGGATTTTCTTATTTCTATAGTAGGTTACTTATGTGTAGAGCAAGTGAAAAGAACCATGCTAAAAAAAAAAGCATTATGATGATGATATATGTATATGTGGAATATTTGCCCAAGTTTTGGATGAATGATTTAAAGTTTCTTCGAGGCACTACATGTTATGTTGTATGGAACATGATGTTTTTTGTACTGGTAAATCGTTTAGTGCAATGCAATGCAAATTTATTTTTCATACTACAAATTTGTTTGATTTTTTATTGGTAATATTATTTTTTGAGGTTTTTGTTGTGTTATGGATTTCAAAGATGATTCTTACAGCAAAAGTAAGTTTTTCATGTTGCGGAAATATGAAATCTTAGGTTGAAAGTCATTTTACAAACTATAAAAATGAAGAAAAATAAATAAATATCTTATATATGGATGACTATTATGGGTCCATTGAGAAATATGTGACTAATTACCATTCCAAGAAAAAATATACTGTATATTTTTTTTTTATTATTTTTAGCAAATAATTAGAAAACAAAAATTAGCTATTTTTGTTTTTTTTTTCGATGAATGGTTTTTTTATTCACATAGTGTTATTTGAGTGTTTCAATGACTATAAATTTTCTGACTAATATGTTAGAAAAATTTCATGCTCAACCATTGGTCAAACATCATGCCCATGTTAAAAAAGAAAAAAAAAATTAATTGATGTTTCTTTTATTAAATATTTTCGTTGATTATTTTTCACCATAATTAATTTTTGTTTATAAAAAGACAAGTGGTTTGTACATAACAAATTTTTACATTAAGTTATAAACATATACCTCTTAAATTTCAATAAAAGTTAAATATGCTATAATATAGTTAAGATTATTATTATTATTTTTATATCTCTTTTTTAAAATTTAATTGAATTAACATCAAAGTATTTTTTGGGTTTGGGTTGAATAAATTTTAATGCTTTGAAATGAAACCGGGCAAGGGACATGGGTTTTACAAACCCGATTCCCGGTTCTAAACCCTGCCATTAACTTTTCATTCTCTCCAAATCTGAAACTCTGATCTTCTTCTTTCAAAAACCGATTTCAATACTGCAAATTCACACCTCAAATTCCGCTGTCTGTGTATACAGGGTCGTCGATAACTCCCTCTTGTAAGTTTATTTTTCTTATGCGATTTCAGTTTCTATCTTATTGTTCATCTTGATATGCGCTCTTTTCGAATATGGCGTTGCTTTATTTGTTTAGTTTATGGACGTTAGGGTTCTTTCTTAGCTGATTATGAAAAATACAAAATCCCACCACTTTGCATCTCCTAATTTTAGGGCTGAATTTAGGATTAAGGATGGTGTATCAGTAGCACACATTTGATTTAAATGTTTTCCATGTAATCGTCGTGATTTTGGTTATAGTTTATGGTTTCCATTGATCGCCAGCACAATCTTTTTCTGGGTATTCAGTTCCATTCCATATTTCCATTCCCTGGCTTTGGATGCCAATGAGTATGGAATTGAATTCCGTCTGTGTTCATAAAATCTTACCAATGAAGGAATTCAAATTTCTTTCCATTAAGTTATAAAATTCAATTCCAATCCTCCGTTATTTGTGTGAATGACTGATTTACTGAAATACCCTTCCTAAACCCCAACCTTGTATAATAACTAAACTAGAGTTGCATCTTTTTGATGAAAAAAAGGGTGCAAATTGAACAAATGGTGAAGGATTATGTGATTTCTCATCATTTACATATTCCAAATCCAAAGGAATATAATTGAATTCCATTCTATTGTAATGTATATGACAGAGTTACAAATGGGAACTACAAGAGGAGTGATTAGTGATAAATGGTCCATGAGGGTTCTCTGGCTTACAGCAATTGGTAGTGCTGTTGGTATGTTGCTGATGCTACTACAATTACCATTTTACCCTTCATCCCCTTCTTAAATAAAGTACATTGCTAATTTCTGAGTGTTGTAGGCTTATACATGGTTGCTGTAGAAAGACAAACACAAAACAGGGAAAAGATGTTGGCTGCAGCAGCTGAAGCAGAAGCCAACAACAGTAGCACTACCACAGTTTGATTGCCTCATTTACCATATTTTTCTTTTTTTCTTTTAGACAATGATGTAATAAATGAGAATTGTGTTTATTCACAATATCTTTTTAGGGTTTATGTCATAATTTAACAACCAACTATTCTATATGTGCTCATTTAGTTGTTTTAATGTAATGTGTGTGAAGATAATTCAGTTTAGCGATTTTCAACTATTTTGTATGTTCTCATTACAAGTCGATTTTGTCATTTTATTATTTATTTTTAGAATTTTATTTTTGAATAAAATATAAATAGCTTTCATTGAAGGCGAACATATATCAAGATTGGTTAAAGGGAGTGAATCAATAAAAAAAAAAGATAAAAAGAAGTCTCGAAGATTTTCTGTATCCAAGTATTTACAACAAAAATTGAATGTATTAACAAAATTGATATTCTATCCATCCATCCATCCATCCATCCATCATATGCTACACACATCCAAAATCATTTCAACAAATTCTATTTCTTTTGTTAAAAAAAAAAACAAAAAAACAAAAAATTATCAAAAGACCATGTTATCCCTGTTACTAGGATTCTTCGAATGTCTCCTTGATCTCGTTCTCCTCTCTCCTTTCCCGCGCTTCACCGGACTCTTCTTTACCGGATTCCTAGCAATCGGATTCCCCCGCACAGATACCGACACCGGAATGGAATCACGATTCCGCCTTAAATTAGGCGGTGGCATGTGCTCTAACAGATCTCGATGATACGCCTGTGTCAACAAACAAACAATCAAATTAAAAACAAACAGACAAAATGACCATTTTACCCTTCCATTCAAAAAAAAAAAAAAAAAAGTAACCTGTATGACAAAGTTTCGTCTTTCACAATCCATAAACATGTTAACACTCCAGTCAACTTGTCCCATGATCTTATCCCTTACAGCAGCAAAACTCAACTGATCCCTTGAAGTAAATCGATCAACTTCATTAAACCACAAACATGTGAACAAATTTGTAATTGGAATGTGTTCCCTTATAATCACACAACCTTCCGGAACATCTACAAAAACAACAAACATTAATACATCATCAACACAAAAAAAAAAAAAATAGAAAATGAAAAAAGAAAAAAGTTTTACCACTGATTATAGGAAGCTTAGCTTCTGAATAAGGAGTCAACCCCTCGTTTCTATAAAAGTCAATCTGATAATCAATCGATTTATTGTCATACTTCCCAGCAGCCTTATTAGCTTCAGCTTCCTCAAACACATCAAACCGCCTATAATGTTTTGAGATTGCAAATGTAGCATTGTGTCGCCATAAAAATCTTTCTAGAAGCTTATATGGGTCCACAACAAGTTGCAGCTTTCCATCAATCCAGATAGAATATTTCACATTTGGAAACAGCCTATGTAGTAAAAGCTTAGGAACCTGTTCATATATGTTATATTTATTATTATACAAATTATAAAAGAAATAAATTTGATAAAGTTATTTATTACCTTTCCATTGCGTCTAGAATCAGTGTAAGGAATGTTATGCACAACGATAATTCTCCATAATCCAACTTTCATTCTGTAGTCCAAAAGACTTGAATTTCTCATGTAACTTTCGGTTTCTTCATCAATAAACATATAAAACGGGATGTTTTTAATCGCATGATCACTGATTTTAGTTGGCTGTTGAATCACATCATAGTTTCCAAATATTGCTGATGCAACGATGATGTCATGAAACTGCTCTAATTCCACAAGATCAGAAATGTCGATGTCAAATCCAGTTTTGTAACCTGGTCTACATCCTTTCACAAATCTGAAACATTTTTCTTTATTATTATTATTATTAAATAATCATTATAAGAAAGATAATAATGTATATATTAAACATATTACATACCCACAATGTACAGTCATTGATTCTTTGATTTCAAAAGATTCATTCCTTTGTTTTAATGAAGGATATCCACCAAAATCAGATCCTTCATGTGGTTCAGTTTTTGTAGAACTTTCTTCATGGAAATAAGTTAAGTGATTTAACACTGGTGATGGTGAAGGGACACGTGGCATGCTAGCAATGGCTTCCTCCACAGGAAGGTAACATACAGGACAGGCTGGCAATGGGCAATTGCATTACAAAAAAGTTAATATATATATTTTTTTGATGATTAAAGAAAGATGAAAAACTTACGTCGAGGTCCAGGGCGTCTTCTGTCACCAGGTGGAGGGGGTGGAAATGCAAAATTCTGACAGAAATTGCTGTGAAAAATGGTGGATTCTGAAGAAAGTGGAGGTGAAAAATGGTGGATAGGAGGGTTTTCTTCACATACAGATAGAGTTGTTTGAAAAGATGAATTATCGTCTTTTTGACTACCGAATTTTCTGGAGAATTGTAAAGAGGTGTTGTATGCATCGTTGAAGTGATCAAATATCGTGCTCTCGGATGAATCTTCTGAGAAAACAGAAAAGAGATTATCAGAAACTTGATTGCTGAATTGGAAGATCGAAACTGAAACAAATATGGTTGAAATTTGGATACGAACCTCTATTGGTGGTGAAGAACCCTGAAAGGAATGCCATGAGAGCAAATGAAAGTAAAATTAGCATTACAACCTTTTTTCTACTGAGATATCTGCACAAAACGAGGAGAAGTTTGTCCTTCTCCCTTGAACCAGAGAGCGACATCCTTGAAGATTTGCGAACAATGAATCCATTTTGAATCTGCAATGAACCGTTTTGAGGTTGCTGTGGTGATCCATAACTCTGTGTTCTTAAATCCAATGACACTCCAGTCATTGTAGTTGGAATCTCACTGTTTTGCTCTTCATCGCCTTGTTCCCACACACCTTCCCCTCATTCACACAATAATCACAATTCGTCTCCCAAAAACAGAATCTAACTGCAAATCAAAATCAATCTGGGATTCAATCAAACGAAGTCCTATCAGATTACCAAATCAAAGTCTCGATCTTAAGCCCTAGCCGTTAACGCACTACTTAGTGTAATCCGTACAGAAATCTATCAGGTTCGAAGCAAAGATCACATAGATTCAATTGTGTATGCTAGAGACAGAAATAAGGATATTGGAACTTACCTCTTTTGCAACGTTACAATCGCCAGCAGCAAATTCAAACTGGAACCCAGAGCAGTCTTTTGTAAGTAACAAATCTAGGGTTTTCCTGTTAAGATCGATTGAAATCTTTGACCAGGCTATGGTTTGTTTCCGTTGAAAATCCGAGATTTCAGTGGATTCTTCCTGTGCAAAACTACTATATATGATATCAAAACATGGAGCGAGTATCAATCGAAATCCCCACCTCAGAAATTGTTCAAGATGCAAATATTCTTGGTTGGGTTTTTGTAAAATTGAGATTTGAGAGGGTATCTAACGAGATTTGATCAACTTTCTTCAAACACTAATCGCATCAGCCAATGAGATCGGTGATAGTGGAATCGGGTTTCAATATTCCTATTTGTATTAGTATTTAGAGGAACCGTTTTCGTTTTCGCTTTCAGTTATTTGTATTATATCCTTTTTCTTTCTTCTTTAGCTTAATTATCGATCAAGTATTTAATTAAAATAAGATAATTTTATGAATTATCTTGTTATGTAATACAACGGTTATTGAGAAATTAAGTAAAGGAATTGCATTGTAAACATATAAAAGGAATGTTTTACTTTGTACATGAATAATATATTCCAATTTTCACACATTTATCTAAAAGGTCATTCATATTTATCAATGATCCTAATACCCAACACCAATCCTAATCTTTATCTTCATCGTCATCCATTTTCCCATGCCTGTCCCGAACAGGATCCCAACAGGAAATCATCGTTACAAACTTACATCTTTTATTTACTATAATGACAAAATTATAAACTTTAATCAACCAAATATTATTAATGACACCTAAAGTCATAGAATTACATAAATAGAAAAGTTAATTTAAAAGGGAATTCATTAAACTAATAGTAATGTAACGTATACTTACAGAAAAATAACTTTTTTTTTTTTTTTTTTTTTTTTTTTTTTTGCAAAGTAACCACCAATTTCGGAATTGGGCATTCTTAACCGAAGAAAAATACATTTCGGACTGACATTCTGAATTCCGAAAAAAGAACTCAAGAATTTAAAGAACAACTTGTAATGAGATATTTGAAAGAAAGTGGTATTTTTTTTTCAAAAATTGAAAAAGTTATATTATTTTTATATATAAAGTTTTGGTTTGAGGACAAATGATATCTCCATCCACGTCTTCTAATTTGAGAATTCCTCATCCTTGTTGTAAGTCAACTAAGGAAACCCTATCAAATCAGATTCATGTAACGAGTTCCTTGTCGGGTACGAGGTTTCTTGCTATATTTAGGAGTAATCTTCAATTATAGTGTCATAGGATGAGGGATGGGTCCATGAGAGGTGTGAGATGTAGGCAAAAATGGTACACAAGGGTAGAGAGTTTCATCATATATATGTATGGGGGAGTAAGTCAACATCTTGTTTAATATGGTGGTTGTTCGGTGCATGCGGGGGATGACCGTTGTGGAGCCCGAAGGTAGCCTGTAATATTCTTCAAATTTTTACGTATAATATAATTTTTTTCGTAAAATCTTATATGACCATGGTACCTTTGAATAAAAATTAGGCTACCTCTAATTTATAAATCTAAACGCAAAGTAGCCCAAAGTGTTTAGGTAGTCTAAAAATATTAAGCCCAAATGAAATACCCAATTAGTTTAACGAAATAAGAAGCTAGAAGCCCACGTTTATTTCGTTATTGATTTTGGTCAAAATTGAAAAGGAGAGAAGGAAACAATAGACCGAAGCCCCATGCCCCCCCCCCCCCCTGCTCACTGTTGCTGATTCGTTGTTGCAGCCTTAGGCCTCGTTTGATAATTGCTGACTGAGAAAGTGCTGACTGGGAAATGTCTGTCTGGGTAAGAAATCCTGACTGAGTAAGAAATTATATTGTTTGATTGTACATCTGACTGGATGTGCTGACTGATGACAAATGACCATTTTACCCTCGTTCCAAACCAACATCCTAAGCATTACACACAAATCATTTAAAATCCAAATAAAAATTGTCATCCATAACTCTATCTATGAGATAAATATCAAACACAACAACCTAAAAATCGAAACTTGTATCCATGTTGTTTGGTATGTATAAAAAGAGAAAGAAAAGGAATGAAAACACTTGACAATCAACATCTAACTAACATTATCAAAAACATATCAATGTCTTTCCAACATTATCAAAAAATTATTTGATCATAATATTCATAACTTAAAAAAATTACAATTTCAGAAAAAAAAATTATCCATATAAATAACATCAGGCAAATCCTTTACCCATCCAAATTTGTCAACATCCTCAACTGTGAAAAATATCACCAAAACAAAAACAAATTATTTGACCAAAGCAAAAATATATCAAAAAGGGAACCTGTCACCGGGAAGCAAGAACCATTTAGCTAAACACAACTATGAATCTAAAGCTAGTAGATTAAAAACAGGGTGAAGATGAAAACTTACATAATATTGTTATGGAAGTAGAAAGCTACTTAACTGATATTAAAGAACAAAACTTATCGGTGCCGGTGATCACTTTTACCTCTCAGAAAACATAAATGGAAACAAAAAACTAGTGATGCTAGAAGCATTCAACCAATTTGGTAAAAGGTAGTTGAATTTGGTTTACTAATGATGATACAGATGAAGGCTACTAATTTGAGATTCAATAACGGTGACATTCATCAACTGTTTGAAATCTTTAAGGAAACATCAAGAGTTACAAAAGAAATGGTACAGTAAGCTAAAAGTTTATTTTGTTGGAAATAAATATAAATCTAATCAACAATTGCCTTGTTAAATTTACAGGCTACTATCCAAATAGCAAAAAGAGATGAGTAGGGAATGAAAAATGAATTCTATGGAAAAGAAAATGTTAATTAAGGCTTGACACCCATAATAAAGGGTTACAATCAAATACTTTGTAGTGGGGTATGATCGATAATTGCAGTGTGATTTTAATTGACAGTGGGAGTATGTAAAAGTTAAAAACATATTTGATCAATTAAGGATTCAATACACGATTAGGTTGTTTAAAATTCCAATTTCTCAAAATTAACCAAGTTCATTTGTTTTTAGAGAACAAAAAAAAAGACGCAACAAGAAAAGCACAATTGGTAACGAGATGGTTTCATGAATCAATTTAAAAAACGATTTTCATGAACGAGATGGTTTCATGAACCGGTTTCAAGAATTCATGGATCAATTTCAAAATCGATTTCATGAAATTGGTTTTATGAATCGATTAAAGAAGAAGAATGGAGGCGATGGAAGAGAAGAAGACGTACCTGATAAGAAGAGGAGAAGGAGTCGATCGGTGGGGGGAAGAGGCGCAGAGGCGTGAAAGAAGAACGTAGGGAAGGGCACAATTGGTAAAGCTTCCTCCTTTCTCAGTCAGTCGTTGGATTTCTTCTTACCAAGCCAGAGCTTTCTTTCCGAGTCAGATGGCCAAAATTGATTTACCAAACAGATTTAGCTGACCGAGTCAGCAAAAAACGTCTGACCCGACTCGGTCAGAAGCATATCAAAGAACCCCTTCGTCTTGTTGCAAATGACAACCTACACTATGGTGACCTTCTCTCTGACCGCAAACGCCCCAATCATAATGGAACAAGTAAGAAACTTAAATACTCAATCCTATTACTTATTATTATATTATTTCAAATTTTCATTATTTGTCTTTGTGTTGAAAAACTTGAAATTAGCAATTATGTTTAATTAATTAGGGACTTAGGGTTAATAGTTAGTTATTATTTGTTGTTAAAACTTGAAATCAAGTTTTTAGTTGAAATCTTTTTATTGTTTGTAACATTCGGTTTTGAAAAATTTCCTATTTCGGGACTTATCGGCATTAAATGGACCAAGTTAGGGCCATGGATTTTTTGGGATTGGGTTTTAGACCCAACTGGGTATGGAATATATATATATATATATATATATATATATATATATATATATATATATATATATATAGGCTTAGGTTATTCTATTCAAACTAAGTATTGTGTTATTGTATGCATAATTGTGGGCCAATCATTTTACTTAATTTTGGAAAGTGAATAATTGTGACATCCCCATTTTCACGGCCAGAAAAGACCGATTTTGTTTATGCTTTATAAAAATCAGAGTATCTCTTTTAATAAAAATGTTGCGGAATTTGTTCCCAGTAAAACATGATAAATACGTTATCAAAGCATTTCCGAAGAAAAGTATTTTTATTCATTTTAAAACATTTGGGATGTCATCGTCAATACAGAAACATAAGCATAAACAGAACTTACATTCATTATCACTAGTGATTTATATCTCCTTAATCTCTCGGTGTAATGTGACTTCATATCAACACCTATGATATCAATAAACTGAGTGGGTCAGGTTGGGAAACCTGGTGAGTACATAGGGATTTCAATCCCACAATGTTATATCATATATATAATTTAGAACTCACAAAATATACAATTTCACCATATATGTATAAGCAACTCTTATCCCACCCCGTCGATCCTCACAACGAGACTATCCATACTCTCAAACCTAAGATTAACCGTTTTACCTAATCCATACTCCCGGATCAGAAATGAACGGCTTTACCTAATCCATACTCTCAGATTAATGACGAATGGTTATGCCTAATCCATACTCTCGGACTAGGGACGAATGACTAATCCATACTCTCGGATTAATGACGAATGGTTATGCCTAATCCATACTCTCGGACTAGGGACGAATGGCTAATCCATACTCTCGGATTAATGACGAATGATTATGCCTAATCCATACTCTCGGACTAGGGACGAATGACTATGTCTTACTCCATACTCCCGGACTAAGGACAACTGACTATGTCTTAATTCATACCCCCGAATTAATGACAGTTGACTATGTCCAATCCATACTCTCGAACTAGGGACAATGACTGTGTCTAATCCATGCTCCCGGATAAATGACATATACTAAAGTTCTATTCTCTGAGTATAACTCACTTGTACTCGTAAGAAAATACTACCCAATATTCCTCATAATTAATTTAGGTCTACCCTTTATCCTAAATCATCATATATAATCAGGTATGTTCTTTAACACGTATTTCAGGCAACATCAATTAACTCGCACATAAACATATAATTAATACTTTAATCAATACTTGTATTAAAATCATGTTCATGAAAGGGACTATGCACTCACCTGATACGGTGGTGACTCGGTACTTGGACAGCACTTCGTTACTCTTAAAACAATTTCCCTCGACAAAACCTAGTATCATTACCACTAGGGTTTAGTTCAATATTTACCGAGACTAATTTAATAGTCTAGCTGTTATTATTATTATATAAGCGTTAAACAACACTATATAACTCATAATAATAGCCTAAATAATTATTTTAAGGTCCTAATAATGTTACTATAATTAATTAGAAGCTATATTAAAAATAGCGTAGGCGTAGCTCACTTACAGCGGGTTTTTCGCAAAACCGGGCTTCGCTGGAGCAGCATTTCCAAGCCGAAAGACCCTTTTTATCGGGACTCCGGGAGCCTCGGGGCTTCCTTCGGGTGCTAGGGGGTTTACCTAGGCTTTTAGGGGGGTTAGGGAGCTTAGAGAGAGAGTATAGAGAGAGAAAGAAGAGGGTTGAGGGGTGAGGAAATGAGGGAACCCGACACCTCTATTTATAGGGTGAAATCCTGAAGGACTCGCCGAGTCGGTGCCACGTGTCATCACCTGATGGCTTTCCTCGGGGAGAAAGCCTTGGCCCATATTCAGCCACGTCACCCCTTTTGCAGCAGCACCCTGCCGACTTCTAAACCCCGTAACTTTTGCATACGAGCTCCGTTTTCGACGTTCTTTTTTTTCCACGCGTAGGTAAAAACAAGATCTACAACTTTCATTTAGACTCCGTCGGCTAATTCTCGACCGATCTTAAATTTAACAGTAGGAGGAGTTTAGACTGTTAAATGACCGCGAAGAATTCGTAACTCCTTCATACGGACTCCGTTTCCGTCTGTATTTTTACCGTTGAGTTCCTATTAATGAGATCTTCAACTCTCATTTAGGTCGCGTAAGCCAAAAACCGCTTGAACTAAAATTCGAGTTTCAGGCTGTACACTGCTAAGCCGAAACTTTGAAAAATCATAACTTCCTCATACGAAGTCAGATTTGGGCGTTCTTTTTATGGATTTTCTCGTTTTAACATACTCTACGACTTTGGTTTAGACTACTAAGGCTAAAAAGTCTTCTATCGTAAATTCACTTTTTACGCTTCCCGGTGCCGTGCCGGTTTTGCTGTAAAATTTCGACGGGCCATAACTTCTTCGTTATAACTCGGATTTCGGCGTTCTTTATATGTACGGAACCCTTGAGACATATTCTACAACTTAGTTAAGATTATTTATTCTAAATAATCTTTTGTCGAAAAGTCGTTTTCGACCCCTATTATCTCTAATTTGACTAGCCCAGATCTACGGGCGTTATAATAATACATATTATTAAATTAAATATAATAAAAAATATCATATAATTTAATTCTAAGGGTAGTTTAGTCAATTAACATAAATTTAAAAAAGGAAAATTGCATATTTTAAGGAAAATAGATTCTATTAATTTTAAAAATCTGATTGTATGTATGATAATTCTTCTAATTCGAAAATTCTGACGGAATATTTTTATCAATATATTGAAAAATAACAAATATGATTAAACCATACAAGAATACACATTCTGACATAATATATATTTTGATTTAATGAACTTCTTGAAGAATAGCAAAATTTTGGATACAAGTTAAAAAAATTTCATTACATTCTTAGAAAAGAAAAAATATATATATACTATTCTATGAGAATGTTACACTTATTAATAACAAAAAACACCATATATAAATCATTCTACCAGAATATACTATTACATTTATTTGTTTTTCATTATATTGTATATTATTCTGGTAGAATAATCCATTCTTTTTGGAAGATCGGTGGTCATTGTTCATCTTCATTCCATACAATGTTCATCTTCAAGATTCTATTATGACAGAATCAGAATTCCCCTGTTCAACCAAACACCTTGAAGCTTCAAAATTCCCCTGTTCAGATGACAGGGATCCTGACAATTCCACATCTCTTGAGTTGGGAAGCAGAGCCCTTAAGCTGTAAAAGGTTCCATATAAACGAGTATTATGTTACTAATTTACTACTCATTTTGAGGATCTTTTATTATTGTGATTTGGTTATCCAGAAATATCAGTTTATAATCTTGGAATTTATTAATTCCATACCTGTTAATGTTAAGGGAATTAGCTCCACTTTCTGGTTGATCATCAATCGATATATCTTGTGATATGAACTTTGCCTTTTTGATGTCACCAACAATCTTTACAGTTGCTGTATATCCACAATGTCTTACAAATACAGTACCCAGGGAGGTGGTGTTTTGTAATTTGTAAATAGTAAAAGTTGGCTATATTTATTTAGATTCCATAGCTAGCTGAAGAATGAGTTCACGCATACTTACATGGACTACTGCACTCTCATCTGCTGTTATTCCTTTGAGTAAATTTGTTATAACAACTTCATCAGAAGACATGGTAGGAGATCCAACACCAACTACCTTCACTTCTGACTTTGAGCTTGCATCAGCTGCATCACGCCTCACTGTAATAAACAAGTCCCCCACACGATCATCACGTACTATTGATCCTGGAGAACAGTTTGATGTTGCAACAGAATCTATGACTTTGCGTATGGTTGAAACAGCTTTAAAGATAGAGACATCAACAAACAAGCTATGAAGCAAGAATGCCTTTCGATCACGAATCACCCTTTCTTCCTCAGTCTTGCAAGGAAGGTTGGCTAACATTGCAAACTCTGTGGCCCATGGTATATGGTCATGTTGACCATTTTTCCCTTGGCCTCCACCATTACCACCCCAGTTTTCATCTTCTGATGGAAGTGGCTGGAAGTTTGATTCTGAGTCCAAAATGGATGGAGGAACCAACCAAGTGTTCGCCCGAAAACCATATGGAAGATTACCAAACTGAAAAAAAAACATAATGTCAGTTTCCAATTACACTCTTATAGCATCAATGTAGAAGTATTTCGGATAAGCAAACAAATATATATTACCTTATTATGTTCTAAGTAGGCTTTCATCAAGGAATCATATGCCTGCATAATTTCAACATAAAATTGAGTATTTTTCTCTTACACATTTCTTCCAGTTAATAGAAGAGAGAACATAGAGATGAAGCAGAAAAGGAACTAATATACTGACGTTAGCAAAAGCTTGGCTGAGCTGTTGAAGAATATCCACCAGGGAATGAGGAACCTGAATCGAGATGAATCGAGATTAGTACCAGATCCGATAACTCGATAGTAGTGGTGTCATTCGATTGGGGGGGATTGGACCTTGCAGCCGCTTCGTGCTTTCCTTAGCCTGCAATCGATCGACATCCATTGGACCTTGCAGCCACTTCGTACTTTCCTTCTCATCTTCATCGATGTACAAATACATGTGTCAACGCCCATGAAATCAGAAATCAAGAAATCGGACTTTCTTTCCCCTTCTTTCTTCATTCGAGCCCTAACTATGTACGGGTGTGTGTGTATCGTTACTCTTAAATAAGAACTGCAGAAGAACATGTAGAGGCGATAATGGCTTGGTATTTTTTTGAAGATGACGAAGAGATGAAGGGAATAATAGCTGGTGTTCAGTCAAGATCCAAACTTTGGATCGTGGTGGCTGAAAGCTTTCGATCGAATCCTACGGGGGGTTTTTCAAAGTGACCTCGGTGGTAATTAAAAGGGGATAAATTAGGTTAAAATCAACTAGCATAATTATAGGAAAGTATTTGGGGAAGTTGTTTATAAAATTACCTAATTACCCTTATTTATTTATTTAATTATTTATTTATATTTTAAATTTTGATTGGCCCACATTTATGCATACAATAACACAATAAATACTTTAAACAATTGAACCTAGCTCTCTCTCTCTCTCTCTCTCTCTATATATATATATATATATATATATATATATATATATATATATATATATATATATATATATATATATATATAAGTTGGGTGATCCAAACTTTCAGTTTGTGTTTTGGGAGTTCAAGGGTATAATGGTAAAAGTGATGCTCTGGACCTCTTCTTGAATTAAGGATTTTAGTTCAGAATGTTTTAAGTCAAAGGAGATTAGATGGGGCTGCGAGACTTCTCATTACCTTTCCGAGCATATAAAGAACGCCGAAAATGGAATTGGGATGAATAAGTTATGACCTTCGAAAGTTGAATGAGAGTGTGTTTTGCCTTGTACGTTGGGCGTACGTGGCACGTACATTGGGCGTACCGGGCTTAAGTGATCGCGATGATTCATGCTAGTACGCTGGGCGTACGTGGAGTACACTGGCGTACGCAAGTTAGAGTCAAACCCTAATTTTTGGGTATCAGGCCATATTGAAAGACCTTAACTTATTGGAAACCCTTCTTACCTTCAGCCTCAACCCTCTAAAGCAGTTCCCTCGAAACTATACCCATATTTGTGAGATTCTTGAGCCTTTGAGTGATTTGGAGTGTTCTTGGTGCATCTTGAAGAAGAAGGAGCTTATTGGATAAGTGTTGGTTGTCTTGGAGCTTGTAGATCCAGACCTTATTCACCTTGATCTTTCTTTTGGAGGTATAAAATTTCAATCTTGATAGTTCTTTTATGTAGATCTAGTTTTAGGTTATGTTAGGAGCTTGTTTTAGTCCCATGGCTTGGATCTTGTGAGTAGAAGTTACGCCAGAACCTTTGAGCTTCATTTCTAGCCATTTATGAAGTCATAAAAAGCGAATCTTAATGGGTGTATCCCTTCCATGCATGAGTTAGTGGTCTTTTGGTGAAGTTATGAATCTAGGGCTTTGGTTTGGACGCCATTAAGCCATGCAAAGTCATAAAGTCAGGAACTTTCTGACTTAAGACGTCCCTTAGAATCAAATCTGGAAGTTAGACATTTTGTCTTAAGGCATTAAGAGCTTAGAATGAGGATTTGGGCTTCAGCACCCAATACGTCGGGCGTACTCACCAGAATGTCGTTATGGGCCATTTAGGTTTTGGGCCATGAATTGTTGGGACAAGTATATGAAGGGTAAAATGGTCTTTTACCCTTAGTATGATAGAGTAAGAATTGGACCCTTAGTAATGGGTTTTTACCCTAATTATTGATTAGGATTGATCTTGGATATGTTCAATGTGAGAAGCCGGGGTAGTAGCATCTCGAGTGTGTTTTGTTGACATCTGATTGAGGTGAGTCTCCTCACTATACTCATGGGTCGAAGGCACTAATGCCAACCCACTAGAATGTGTTATGTAGAATGCTAGCTGTATTTGTGACTCTTGCATTATATGTTGGGCTGGGCCTATGGGCATGCATGTATGTAGGGTTAGGCCCATTACATGAGAGGGGAGGACCCATTGTATGTTGGGCTAGGCTCATTGTATGACAAGCTAGACCCAATTGTATACTGGGCTGGGCCTATTGATTAGGAAGGGCTAGGCCCATTATTATGGGCTGGGCCCAATGTGTGGGCTAGGTCTAATAATATGTATGGTATGTCGTATTTTGGGGAACTCACTAAGCTTTGTGCTTATAGTTTTATGGTTATGGTTTCAGGTACTTCCAGTTCAAAAGGGAAGGGCCCGACGTGACTGCACAACAACCTTAGAGTTTTATTCCGCAGTAGTGTTTATGACTTTTACTCTGATGTTTAAATATTAATTTTCACCTTGAATGTTTTTGGGAACAAATTTTTGTATGGACTAATGTTTTAAAAATAAAAATTTTTCCATGGATTTTCGGGAAGTTACATTGTAGGTTTCCATTAGCATTTTTTTAAAAGACAATTAGATGTTGGAGATAACAATGGTGAAACACCTTCCAAAAAAAGAACTCAAATGAATCCTACAAAGCCAGAGACCACACGTTCCACAACCTAGTGCATCCACCTTTACAACACCTATTCCAACAAGTTTTGATTTGAATGATCTTCCTTCGAGTGCGGGGATAGGCCAAAAATTACATCTTATCATCCTAGTAAAATGGATGAAATAAGGAGGGCATATTTAATTAAAAAGCATTCTAAATTAGAGGGGAGTGGTTTTCTATGAAGGGTATTTGGTGAAAAGCTTAGATGTTTAGTTGTGGAATGGTTAGAGTATAACATTAAAAAGAAAGGAAAATGACACTATAGCCCATTGAACTTTCAAATTTTGGTTTAAATGGTCCTTTAAATTTTTTGGATTTATGGGGGCATAAGGTGGGGGTTTTTTTCGGGTCTAAATGGTCATTTTGGACAAAACAAAGGCGCAAACCGGTTACTTCTTATGCTAGGTTATTTATTGTGCTACATGTAAGATGTTGACTGTACCGGTTTAGGTTTTAAAGGAGATGTATTGAACAAACCGCTTACCCTTTTCCTTTCTCATTTTCCTTCTTCATAAAACCCTTTCTCCATCTTCTCTCTTCTTCATTTGAAAAATGGCAATATACATCATCGTAGATCTGCACTTCCAAGGTATATTCAGCAGGCACCCTATAAGATATACCGATGGTATACATCATAAGCTGGTTAACATTGATTTCGCCGACATGGACAAGGATGAGTACTTTGCGTTCATTGAAAGATTCACAAAGGAAAAATGCGAGAAGATCTACTATTGTCTCCCTTATATTACATTTCTAGAAGGTTTGAGGTTAATTCAATCTGACCTTGACTATGTATAGTTCATATGTATTGCGTATGGATTTGGTGTTGGAATCCTTGTGTGTATAGACCATTTGGTACTACTAACATTCATGAATGGTTGGTAAAAGACAGAGTTGAAGTACTTGGTGATATCCAACTGGATACACGACCAGTTCGTAGCGGGCAATGGAATAACAATAACAACAACTCTCATTTCTTCGAAAAGGACAATAGCCTGGATTTTGAGATGGTTGAGAATGAAGTATTATATGATGTTAATGATATTGAGATGGCTGAGAATGAACCAGAAGCTGATGTTGATTTGGCAAATACTTTTAATGAAGAAGTATAGTGGAAGAAACATCAGCATGTGTTAGGTATGAGGTTTGAGGATCCTAAAAAACTAAAATACATGATTTGTAGTTATGCAGTTGCAGATGATTATCAATTATGTTTTATAAAAAATTGATAATAGAAGACTATTAGTGAAATGTTGTTATGGAAAATGTACTTTTAGGCTTTGGGGGTTCTTGGATGAGTGATGTGTAGTATTTTCAGATAAAGTCTCTTATAAGTGACCATAATTATGAAAAGAATTTCAAATTACGATCACTTGTCACTTATAGATGGATTGGTAGCCATTTTACTAAAGAATTTGTAAACAAGCAAAATATGAGTGTTAGACTTCTTAAAGAGGAGGTGAAAAAGACTTTTAGCATTATATATATATATATATATATATATATATATAGAGAGAGAGAGAGAGAGAGAGAGAGAGAGAGAAACCGGAGACAAGAGTGAGAGATGATGGATGTGGGAGTAAGAGAGACATAATCATGAAGAAGCTGAAACCTCTTTGAGTTGATATTTATAATAATTTATAGAAATGGTCAATGAATTATCAATAAATATAAATATAACTTAGAAAAAAGGGTCAATCATTATTTTACACCTACTTAACATAACACTTTATAGAAAATTAGGCTTAGGGACAACGAGTTTTGAAAATCACATGGACCAGCTATGTCAAAAATTCAATAATAGGACCAAATATATAAATTTAGGAAAATCACGATAAGCAAATGTATAATTTACACTTTTTTAGTATTATAAACATTAAAAGAAGATTACACAAATTAAAAAAAATAGTAAGGGATTTTTTTTAATGTGAGATAGGGATCAACGGTGCCACAAAAATATACGTACTAAGCATATAAACTATCCCTGGACCATTTATGTAATTTACTCTATATATCTATCTTCTATTATAATTTATGCATTTTTTACTTGCAACACATGCATTTGAAACACGAAAACTCTTCAAATTTCAACACAACATATCAAATTTATTTATTTAAATATACTAAATATGAAATATCATATTAATGGTAGAGTTTTTGAATTATGAATACAATTTACTTAAATGTTAATTTAAATATCATGTTAAATCTAAAATATAAATTAAAAATCGTATAAGTAGAACGCTAAATGTAAAATACTATACAAAATGAATTTTGTTTACTTGGACCATATATTTTCGAAACCTCTGAACTCTTAATTTAATTAATTCAAATATGTTACTAAATATGAAATTTAATCGATAGATTTTTTGAATAATCAACATAATTCATTTAAAATGTTAATCTAAATATCATATTAAATCTAAAAAATATAAATCAAAATATCATATTAAATCTAAAAAATAAATCAAAAAATTAAACAAACTTAAAATATTCAAAAACTATTTTTAAATAGTTTAAAACCTTTAAATGTTTAAAATTTAAACCTAAATCGACATACCAAATTAACTAAAAATTTGGTTTTTAAATTAATTAACAATAATA